TTCATCTCTCCTGCCCTCCCCCTCCTGCCCTCTCCCATGGTGGCCTCCCCCGCTGCCCTCTCCCATGGTGGCCTCCCCCACTGCCCTCTCCCATGGTGGCCTCCACTGGACGCACTCACCCAGACTCAATGGACAGAAAGGAGGTGGAGTGGGAATCCTTCTATCCCCACAATGCACTTTTCAAGTTCTGTCTGCACCTCCCTCTCTATCCCTCTCCTCTTCTGAAGCTCACTGTATTCTCCTCTTCTCTCCAATCTCTGAGGATTGCTGTTACATACCGACCTCCTGGACCGCTATCTCGCTTCCTGGATGACTTCTCTGCCTGGCCACCCCACCTTCTCTCCTCAGAAATACCCCCCATCATTCTTGGTGACTTTAACATCGCTACTAACATTAACAGAGAAAGGGAGAGATGTGAACCCGTCATTGGAGATAGGAGACTTACTGTGCTAGGACCTGACTGGTACGCCTTCCACCCAGCGGTCCTGAATTGCACTGAGCTGTCCCGTATTCTCACCATCCCATAAACCTCCCGAGACTTCCCGCTATCTGTCACTGTGATCACAGGCAGCAAGACCCAACTCACCCACAGGAGGAGCCGTGTCTGTCCTGGAAGGTCCTAGCTCTGGCAGGAGGAGCCGTGTCTGTCCTGGAAGGTCCTAGCTCCGGCAGGAGGACCTGTGTCTGTCCCGGAAGGTCCTAGCTCTGGCAGGAGGACCTGTGTCTGTCCCGGAAGGTCCTAGCTCCGGCAGGAGGAGCCGTGTCTGTCCTGGAAGGTCCAAGCTCCGGCAGGAGGACCTGTATCTGTCCTGGAAGGTCCTAGCTCGGGCAGGAGGAGCCGTGTCTGTCCTGGAAGGTCCTAGCTCCGGCAGGAGGAGTTGTATCTGTCCTGGAAGGTCCTAGCTCCGGCAGGAGGAGCCGTGTCTGTCCTGAAAGGTCCTAGCTCTGGCAGGAGGAGCTGTGTCTGTCCTGGAAGGTCCTAGCCCCGGCAGGAGGAGCTGTGTCTGTCCTGGAAGGTCCTAGCCCCGGCAGGAAGAGTTGTATCTTGCTCCAGCAGGTCAGTGGTGGACGGGGAAGACAGCAGCAGAGGGGTCTGGAGATCTGGACTGAAGCATGTGAAGGAACAGGACTGTCAGGCTGCACTGTGGGTCGGCTTCATTGCCCCCTTCAGATCCATCAGTGACTGCGAGCGTTCTTCCATGTACCAGCAAAGACAAATGTGACGCTGAAGTGACAACATGTGTTCCCTCTGCTTCTCCGCAGAGATGGATCTCCGTACCTCCAGCCCTTTCCTCCGAGCTCCCCATCTCCTCCCACATTCCAGAGGCTCCCTGTCTCCTCCCACATTCCAGAGGCTCCCCGTCTCCTCCCACCTCTCAATGATTAACCCCTTCTGCATCAGCTTCCTCCGCAGAGCTTATAAAGGTGCAGTACATGTCTGTATGTCACAGTCACATGTCCAAAGAAAACACTTTTATAAACAACACGTGTGCCCCTCCATAGGGGGCAAGTCATATGTCTGTGGCTGGTAAGGCATGCTAGGAGTTGTAGTCCTGCGGTAACTATCAGCAGTCCTGTGGGTGAGGGGAGGTGTGCTGAGACTTGTATTCCTCAGAGCCGAGTCACATGTCTGGGTTTGGCAGGACATGCTGGGAGTTGTAGTCCTGCGGTAACTTGAGCACTTTAAATGTTTTACAAATGCGGCTGCTGAGCTCCCCAGTAAGTGCACAACCTCATGAAGCCACACCTCCTCCTCCGTCTCTCTGACACCATGCTGCCCGCCCCCGGACACCTGGTATGACACCGCACAGCACTCCTGAAAGTCTGCATAGCCCGTCTGAGACCCGACACAGCCACATGAGAGTCCGCATAGCCCACCTGACACCCGACACAGCCACATAAGAGTCCGCATAGCCCGTCTGAGAGTGCACAGCCCACCTGAGAGTCCGCACAGCCCACGTGAGAGTCCACACAGCCCACGTGAGAGTCCACACAGCCCACGTGAGAGTCCACACAGCCCACCGGAGAGCCTGGAGACATCATGGGGCCCCCCAGAACAACACAGAGTATATTCACAGAGTAGCTTCATATTATTTTGTATTGATATAATGTATTGCTGAGATTTGTAGTCCTCCATAGACGGTCTCCTTGACAAGTTGGCGACCCTGACCATTCCCCGAGACGTCATCAGGAAATCCATATTCTGGATTTATTTCTTTATTACCGGTGTAACGCGGATCAGAAATATTCAATGTTTTTGGAAATCAATAACCTCTACAAACATTTGTTGAAAACTACCCCAGTCATACACAGCCCACGTGAGAGTCCACACAGCCCACCGGAGAGCCTGGAGACATCATGGGGCCCCCCAGAACAACACAGAGTATATTCACAGAGTAGCTTCATATTATTTTGTATTGATATAATGTATTGCTGAGATTTGTAGTCCTCCATAGACGGTCTCCTTGACAAGTTGGCGACCCTGACCATTCCCCGAGACGTCATCAGGAAATCCATATTCTGGATTTATTTCTTTATTACCGGTGTAACGCGGATCAGAAATATTCAATGTTTTTGGAAATCAATAACCTCTACAAACATTTGTTGAAAACTACCCCAGTCAGCTGATCCACATCATTGCTCCATGAAGTCCTCCACACAGGGGGTCTGGAGATGAGGCTCCTCTCAGCAGGAAGCTAGGGATGTATTGTATCCTGTACCAGGACAAAGTCAGTCACCTCGGAGGGGAGGGGGTAGGGGGCACTCTGATTGCTGAGCTCCGGGTACACTACAACTGCCCTGTGCTCAGAGAAAGGAGACCGAGTATTCAGAGTTCCTTCCAGTGATAGACACGGAGAGAGAGAAAAAGGAGGAAATGTTCTTTGGAAATCTGAGACCATGTAAAGTCTCCCTCGTTATGAAGTAATAAATCAGCTTATCTACACAGTCCTGTCACCAAAACAATCAATGTGAAAGAGGAATTCAGAGACTGAGTCGCTGACAGAAGAGGTTCCATGGAAGACCGGGACCAGCAAGTGTATAGAAGGGAAAATGTTTGATACAAAGTAGTAAAATGACAACATTGTCTAGAAGTGTCTTTCATTCCCTCATTCACACGGACGGCCCCACACATACACTGAGCAGCTATTCTGAAGACGGGACTTCTAGTGACATCGATGGAATAAATTGCAGAGTTTCCATCACGGTGATCTGTCCACACTGAGAACTTATCGAGTTCTGCGACCGCCTGACTTCCGGTTTCGTCAGAACTCAAATCCCCCATCATCGTCACACCTCCCCCGTGTGGTGGCATCAGAAGGAATCACAAATTCATTTTGAACGCCAGGGAGAGGCTGAGAGTGGTATCGCCATGTCCTTGTGATGTTCACGCTCTGTTCAGACCTGTGTATGGTTACGTGGGATTGACTTGCAGCGGGTCTGGGCCGGCCGTACATCACATTACCTTGTTTGGTGATGGGAGCCAATGAGAGAACACCATGTTTGGTTAATGGCTTGTCTGGTGTAGAAGACCCCGATGAGTTCCCCAAGAGGTTTACTGCTTGTGGAGTTCCTGGAGTGATGGTTGAGGAATCAGGTGCGTTGTCCCGGGTGTTTGCATCAGTGGATTCCTGCTCATCCGAGCTGTTGAAGAAAATGTGGTGCGCAGTCTTACCAGAACTATGACAGGGTGGTGTTGTGATGTTGTCTTGGTTTACCTGTTTGATCTTATTGGAGCATACGCCATCTGAGGCTTGCAATTGCGTTCGATTCTATAAGTACCCAACCTAAGTCAGTCTTTTTGGCATAAGGATCATCATTCACCCATTCTGCTGCTGACGTACCTTGTGTACTCTGAGGACGTCTCTGCCTAAGAGAAGCATAATTTCGGCATCGTTGTCCAGTGGTGGGATGCGGTCAGCTAAATGTTTTCGGTGAGGTTCATGAAGTGCATCCTCTGGTGTAGGGATTTCCTCCCTGTCGTTAGGCAACTGATTGCACTCGATGATCTGAGGAAGATCAATTCTCTCCGTTCCTTTTATAGGAGAAATGAGGAATTCAGCATTGGTGGTTCTTCCTGTGAGTTGCACTGAACCAGCAGAGGTGTGCAATGTATAGGATAGCACGTTACCCTTAATGCCGAATAAGTCAAAGAACTCTGACGTGACGAGTGACGGCTTTGGTCATCTAAGACCGCATACATCTTGTCTGCTTTCTCAGGTTGTCTTGTGGTGAAACACCTTGACAAGAACTATCTTTGTAAGAGTCTTCCCCCGCCACAGTCCCTTGTGATGTAGATCCATACATTGTGATGTGACTGTTGGAGGTGGTTGCCCATGGCTCTCCCCGCAGACTACAGTACCTGAGGAAGAAACACTTATGGCGGAAGCATGACCTTCTTGCTCCCCGCCATGATTTCAGGTCAGGCTGGATGTAGGAGGCTGCTGTGGGTTGTCTGGAGGTGGACCAGGATGCATTGCTGTAACATGTGTCACTACTGCATTCTGTGCACCCGATGACAACTTTACAGTCTTTAGCATAATGACTTGAAGCACAGCACCTATAACATACTTCAAGTGTCTGGAGAGTCTCTCTGCCCTCAGCCCACAACACTTAAGGGCTTGTTCATACCCAATGCAGATCAGATCTGCATGGCTTTCTGCACACGCAGTGCATTGGGTTGTGCTGCGTTTGATTCTTTATGGGCCATTTTTGGTTAAAAATAAATATATATATTTTTTAAGTTTAAAATGGGCTTTCAGTGCGTTCCAGGGCATTTGATGCATTTATAGGGCTTGCTGCAGTGTTTAGTTCCTCCCAACCGCTTTAGTTTTGGCTGGAGAGCAGATTTAGTCCTCCAAGCTCCATTACATGATTGACTGACTGGGCTGTAACTAACTAATTAATTATATATATGTTCCCTGAGCACTCTGACCAGAGGATACTCTTCTTCAGCATAGTATGCTCCATAGCCAAGATCTGCATTACATATAACATATGCAACAGGATTACTCCAAGTTATCATAGGGGGAAGTCCTTATCCTCATCATACTTCACATGACTAGCTACGACATGCCAATTGTGCAATGCCAAGGCTAGCAGGTTACAGGCAGCAAGTTTATACCAGAGTTGAGGCATGAGGGGTGGCACAAGATAAGTTGGCCTAGTATAAACCTACCCTGCACACAGACATACTGTGAGAATTACAGCACAAACGTATATCTGCATGTGAATATATGATCAGGAGATCCTGAATGCAGCGTTTCCCCAACACACATCATGAATGTATATTTGACCCAAGCTGCAGATTTCCTGCAGCAAGAGAGAAATGCAAAGCAGGTGAATGAGGCAAAAAGGACATCCGAGTTGAGTGATGTAGAATAGGCTGCATTAAAGATGACCTCTAACCCTACCACTCGAGGTGGGAGTGAAAATTGAAGAGCCAAAAGATTTTGCAGAGGCCACACGTCTAATAGATCCAGAGAAGTCTTGTCTATGATTAATCTCCAACTGCAGAAGTTACACGTGTGAGGCTAGCTAACCTGTAAGCCAAGGCAGGTGAATGAATACCCACTGCTTTGAGCTTATGCCATTTTCATTCCACTGCACGACATGGAAAGCCACATCTTGGAAGTGTACAACAAGACATGACCCAACACTTAATCTGCATTCTAGAGCTTTAATAAAGCCCCTGCAGCACATTCCCCTTGCCGCCTCATCTGCCAAGACTGACAATACCCATTACTTCCGATTCTGGAAACCTGTGCCAGTCCAACAAGCATGGCTACACAAGTCCATAGCCCCTTGCAAGCCATGTCTGGGGACCTGTACATTACAAGTTGCTGCTTCTCCTGGTAGAGAAACAGAGCCAAGAAATGGGAGCTTGCTGGTTGCCGTCTGGTCAGAGAAGACCAAGGAAAGGCTTCCTGCCTCCAGCTAACAGAAGCTTCAGTTCTAGGCAAAGTTATTCAGCTTCACTGATTGCTCTGAAGATTTGTTGCTTTATATTGTGGCAGGTCACAAATTCAGACTTGAAGTTACTTAAGGGCCACCCTTTGATGTCCTGCCAAGTCTGCAGTCTTGGCACCCCAGTGACAGATGGTAGCATTGCGCCCTTTACAACATTGTGAATTGTGCATTACACCAATATGAACTGACGTGATTCCATCAGTGGGAGCATGTAGGCCAGCTTCTGGCATTCTGTGCAACAATTTCTTACAAACTAATGTTCTTACCTCGTGCAATCCTCATCTCCAGCTCGAGGGGGCCAGATGTACTAACAGGAGAAGGTGGTGGCAAGGTATGCACAGTCACAGCCAGCGGTGCAATGCCGGTCTGAGTGTACCTGCAGCGCACAGTCACCCTAGATAAACAGTAGAGGGTTAGATACCATTCCTTGTCCCATTACTTGTAGCAGGTTTGCTCATCTCATACCTCATTATACTGTCCCGAGTGATAGAAGAACCCCGCCATGTCTCTATGGTTCTTGGAGCTTCAATAGTAGTCTCATAGTTCATTGGACCATCAGGGACCTGGGGTGTAGAAGAGTGAAGAGATTAGAGCTAGCCAGGCAGTCAGCTTCCCTTTGAAGCAACACACCCCATCCACCATCAGTAGGATCCCAATTCCTGGTTTGTGCCCCTTCACAAGGAACGCTTCCAAGGAGCATTTGATGTCATTTGTTCTGTACACAAGAAACTTGGACTGTTTAGTGTATTGGGGAGGTTCTAGAGGATTGTTGGTAGGATTATCACTTTATACTTTACTGGATGACATTTTAGAAGCAGCCTTATGACCACAAAAACAAAGTCTCAGGAGCTAAGACTTGATCCACCATCTTGAGAACTATGGGGTTAGGGCTTTCCCCATATTTCTCCTTAGGGTAACAGGACACAAACTAGCGTCCTCCCGTCACCCTTAACTCAGTATACCGTGAGCTACAGCTCTGAGACGCCACAGCTGAAGCAGATCCCGACAATTATGTCTGGATACGCCCAGCTGCATGAGTGACAGCTGGCTCTGCCTATCTAGAGGCAGAGCTAGCTGTACCCGCCCCCTCCCGTTCTGCCTGTCAGCACTGCTGGCTCTGCCTATCTAGAGGCAGAGCCAGCTGTACCACCCCCCCCCCCCCCCCTCCGCCCCACCGCCGCCGCGGGCGAGGGGGGGGGGGG